TTCTAATACTAAAATCAATAGCTGGTGTTGATTTAATGTAGATGCTGCATTGACTCTCATTGAACAACCACCTACTTATGCTCCAATGACTTTCGTCTCTATTGGGATAACTCAATTTTTTATTTAGGTCACATTGGGAATTTTTTTTATTTTTTGAGTCATATTAGGAATTTTATTTTTTCTTTTAACCGTAGGGGGAATTTTTTTGTTTTTTTTTTATCACAATGGGAATTTTTTTGGGCTTTGTTGGGAATTTTGTTACATTTTTTTTACCGCAGGGGGAATTGGGTTGTTTTGTTTAGCCTCATAAGAATTTTTTTTTTTTTTTACGGCAAACATTTTTTATGTATATTAAAAATTCTAATTACTTTCATCCTATTTTTATTAAATAATTTATCTATGAAAATTTTTAATACGAGTTTTTTAAAAAAATTTATTTGAATATATTATGAGATCTTCTTAAATAATAGATATTTTTTTTTTATTTTGATTTAATTCAATAATTAAATAAAAATTATCTTGTTGATTCAGTAAAAGGGATTGTAATTATAATAACCTGAAATTTAGAATTTCAACCAACGCATTAGGGATTACTTTTTAAATTATTAATCCTGTATTTTGGATAGAAAAATTATTTTTCACTTTTTTTAGGCGTCCAAATTTTCAATAAATTTATTTGTTAGAAAAATTAGCTTAAAAAATTATCAGATTTAATTTAAACCGAAAATATTTTTATAAAACGTTAGTATAATTAAAAAAAAATTCATTGATTTTCATGGAAAAAAAAATTTTTTTTTTCTTTCAATAATAATTATCATCAACAGATGTTAATATATCTCTATCAAGATTTTGACTGCCTACATTACTAAAAAAATTAAAAATTATTATAACTCAAAAATTGAGATTAAATTTTCAATAAAAAAATTTTTTTTTCATAGAAGTACAGTAATTTTTAAAATGTCAAAACTTTTCTAGATCTTAAATTATTAATAGCTTTTCAATTTCGGCTACAAATAATTTTTTTAAGATTAATTTTATAAAATTTTTAGTAGGTGGAGTATTGTTTATTTCGTTTCGTAAATTGTTAGGGCGATATTAATAAAATGATCGAATGTCATAAATCATAATACTCTTTAAATGAATTGGATAATTCAACTTAATTCATTCATAAATTCTCAAGAATTATGAATGGAAAATAAAATAAAAAATTCTTTTTCTTATTAAAATAATTAAAGAAAAAAACTAATAGAAAGAAAGTAATGAGTTATTTATTTATAAATATTCAAGTGTTTTATGGTCCTCAATCTCCGACAATATTGTCTAGAAAAAAGTAAGTACATTGACTGGTTAGATACGAGGTATAGGTGTATGGTATCTGTATTGTAACCCAGAGATTGGTTGTAATGAATGGACCGACACAAAAAGCATTAACTACTTTACTGGACACACATTACACGGCTGATTATTCATCTGCGTTTCTTATATTAATTTTTACCGAGGATAGTATATATAATACAACATAAATGTTTATACCCGACGACTTATGCACCGAAAAAATAATGTTCTTGAATCAAGTATATAATTTTGAAAAACTTAATATTCTTGATTTGAGTAGAAAAATTCTTAATTTAAGGAAATTTTACTTGATTCAAGAATTTTTCGTCTTGATTCAAGATAATTACCCTCTTCAAAACTATATTCTTGGTGCAAGAATTTTTTTCTTGAATCAAGTTAATTTTTTTTTCAGTGTGAAGTTAGTGAATTTCTATTTATCATATTTTCTGTTAGAAAAATAATGATCAGAATAAATTTTTTAATTTTTGATTCACAATTAACGGAACTGGAATAAGAAGAATTTTAAAAAATGTATAAATAAAAATGTGTGTTTTAGATTTTATACAAATAATTTAACGCCCCGGTATAATATAAATTCTCGGCAGGCGTTCTCCTTGACCCAGAGACAGGAGTTATAATCCAGTAGGAGAAGTGAACTCAACGCTTAACTTGTATCTGTAAATTGCGGTCAAGCAACTCGGTTATGTAATAGCGTAATGAGAGATCAAAAACCACCTTCTATTTCTATCCATTATTATCATTATCTGTTGCTATAATTATTTATTAATAAATGAAAATTTCCAATTTCTTCGATGATTTTTGGTAAGTTGTATCACAGCGGAAAATTTTTGTACACTGAGAGAAAAAATTTCTTTTGAAAAAAATGAGCAATGCTATAATAAAAAAATTAATTTTTTGAAAATTTTCGAAAATTTTAGTTCTTAGCTGAATAAATAAAAATTTTTTCAACACGGATGTTACGTTGAGGAAAATTTTTATTTCTTCAGCTAATAAGAACTAAAATTGTCGAAAATTTTCTACAAATTAATTTCTTATTATAACATTGCTCATTTTTTTCAAAATAAATATTATCTTTCAGTGTATGAAGATTTCAAACAAAAAAACAAACATTTAAAGACAGTTTCAGAAACGAGAAGAGATTTCATACGAGATAGATTCAATAATTTCAAAAAAAAATTTCATTTCGACTCTTACCATCAATTTGAAAAGTATCAAAGATCTTGATTTTTTTTTTGTTTTTCTTAGTAAATCGATTTATGTTTGCTAATGTTCTTAAGGACTAACAACTCAATGTACCCTCAATAGCCATTTGAAGTTGTAGATCTATCTGGTGAACGATTTTTCCGGTTCGATTGATCAAAATTTTGGAAAAAATTAAGGAAAATTTGAAAATTTTTTCGAGGCTGAAAAAATTTTTTAAATTATTTTCACAAAATCAATAATGAATATAGTAAAAAAAAAAAATAGTTTTTGAAAATAGTAAAAAAAAAATTAGTTTTTGAAAAAAAACTCTTTGATCTGAAATAATTTGTTGGTAAAAATTTTTATAATTTTTTTTTCAAAAAAATTTGACCAAGGTATTCCATTGAATAAACGTACTTTATCAAGTACCGTTTGAAATCATTTAATCATCGTATTGGAATGCATTTCTCGGCGTAAAATGAGTAACCAGAGCTCTGATACTCGTTTCCGTTTCACCAAACGTTCAATCATTTGCATGTGTGTATAATATAATACGCGGTTGGAATTCTTAAAATGGAAAGTAACCCGAAAGTGTTTGTCCGCTGCTTACCCAGCCCGCGGGTTTTTTCTTTTTTAATGACGTAGACGCGCAAGCCGAGCGAGTGTTGAAAAGAGAAAAGGAATGACGATAATACATTGTGCAAAACAATTATTATTATTTGAAAGATAATATTGTGATGAGAGGTATGTAGCACGCGTTAAACAGAGAAATTTTGTCCTGTCAAACACATCCAGACAATGTCTATCGTATGCGCAATTTTTATGACAACTCTGCGCTTTTGTTTGCTAATTTTTTTTTACTTCTTTTTTTTTTTGAAAGGAAGTGGGACACTATTGTTGACTGTGATTGATTTTTATCGATTAGCATGATTAAAAAGTTTAATATTGCTTGACCTATATTACTTGATCGATACAATGTTTAAAAAAATTTTTAAATTCAGTCTTAGGCCAGAATTTTAACCGATCAAGTAATCTTAAAAGTATCTAAGCTGTAACAGCTATTTGTCCTATTTAAGCAGGTCTTTAGACGATAAACATTTTGAATTTTTTGGGACTTAGTTTTGTCTTGACCAAAAAAACGAATAAAGTAAATTTTTTATGACCGATAAAATGCGGCTTTTATCTCGATGATTGATACATCAGGAAAGTTTTATTTAAATTTAAATTGAAGTTGTCTTTTATCTGGTCTTTAGTACTCATATCATCTGCCACGCCGGTGTCCTGAACTGATTATATCGGAGTTTATGATCATTCACTCGCTGGTTGTAATGACATTGCTTGGTTTCTTGAATTCTTTCTGTTGCATCACTGAGATGTAACTTTAAAAAATTTTTTACTGTTATAAATTTTTTTTTAGGATCAAGTTTTTTTATAGACTTCATGCATATTTTTTCTCGTAGTTCTTATAAGTGATTATTATAATAATAATAATAATAATAATAATAATAATAATAATAATAATAATAAATTGATAATAAAATGAATAATCAATAAAATTATTGATTATTTAGTTGGTCGATAATAAAAATTTTGACAGAAGCGCGTAAAGCGCGCTCGATTTTTTCTAGTAAATAGTAAATTTTCTTCTAAAATATATGATAATTATTAATAATGAAAGTATAGTCCAGCTTAATAATAGTTGTATCGTCAATTTTCCCAGAAATTTTTTTCCATGTGCATTTGCGCCATGTCGATAAACAGCCTAAGACTTTTGTTCGCAGACTATCATAAATCGCACAAAACAGGCAATTTTGGAATAAAATATAGTTCATAGTGGACTACTTAGGCAGTCATTATCCGACAAGGGATACTTTTTTAGCAGAAGTCGTAGGGTCACTTGCACGGGCCTGGGGCTCGTGCTAAAAACATTACCCCTTGTCACATCACAACTATCTTAGTATTCTGACTATGAAATATACTATTACAAAACCCCAATAAATTTCATAAAAAGTTAGTATACTCATTTGTCTCTTGTGTAGCGCATGAACGTCCTTAAAATAGCTTCGAAAACTTAACATAAAAAATTTACTATCACCATAAAATTTTTTCACGGGATCTATTGTAAAAAATTTAATTGTAATCACATTCATAAAATATCATTTGTCTTTGTATGTTTTTGATTCTAAATATTGTAGCTATGAGTTACCGTACACTTAATTTAATTATAAGTATGTATTTTGTCTGAATGAAATATTTAATAAAATCGTTGGTAAATTAATGAATAAATAATTAAAACCATATTTTACAATTTTAAATTATTCGAAAATAATTTTTTGAAATTAATTTTTCCAAAACATTTAATAATCTTCGTTCTATAAAAGACAAAAATTTTTTCAATATTGAGAGTTCCTTACATTAAGATCGTACTTAATCAAATAATTTAATTAGTGATAGTTTTCTATTTAATTAGGCGGATGTCTATCATTGTAATAATCATAAGGATCGGCAAAATCAGATTGATTATCATGGTCCGAATAATCCTGACGATTGTACTTGGAATACACAGTTGGTCCAGCGCTGAATCCCAAAGCCATTGGTAACAATCCGCCTTGTGCAAGTCTTCTCAGTCCCATGATTGCAGCCAAAATTAAGCTCATTAAGCTCAGCACGACAGCTTTTCCACTCAAAAGGGCAAGCGCTTTTAAGGCTATTGGTAGTAAAATTGATTTTATCAATAGCCACCCGACTATTAGTGGTATCAAATATTTGGTGTGTTTTTTCCATTTTTTCTTCTTTTTCTTCTTACCTATAATTTAAAAATTGTCATCAATTAAAGAAAATTTTTCGAAAAATCTAAAGGTTTAGTTTTTAAATAAAATCATTGCAGATTTATTTAAAAAATGACAAGATTGTTGTCAGATTTGAAAAATATTGAGACTTAAAATCATCAAAAATTTTAGCCTTAATTCATTTTTTTCTAAAAAAATTTCATTTTCATCAAATTTCAGAAAAAAAACTTACTGATTTAATGTTTTACACCTAAAATTTGCTTAAAAAAATTAACAAAATTTTAAAAATATCTAAATTTTATATGATAAATTAATTCTCTCCTCTTTAAATTTTTTTGAATATACAGAATACGTACACAAATAACGTCCTTCTCGATTAGACTTATTTTCGAACGGCAAAGTGACATCACTAGTTTTCACCACCCCATTATTATGATTATTCTTATTAAACTCTTCTAATTGATTAGATAAATCAATATTCTGAATAATATCAGGCAAATAAGAAGCTTCTAACGAATTTCTTAGTCTAAAGTTACTAGAATGACACCAGTTTATCAAGCACATGAGACATGCAAAGAACACTTTACTCATTTTAGAACAAAAAAGTTAGTAAAATAAAAACTAGGTCTTCTATTTGTTGGATATCTCACGGTGAAAAACGATGAAAGACTCGAGGATATGGATACTCACCCCTACTTTATATAGCTTTGTGGTAAATGAAGCTGTAAGGATGACAAAGAGTAGGATTTGTTAATCTAACTGGGTAGTGATGCGTAAAGAGGCTGATTGTTCGATTGCATTAATCTATTACAAAGATAATCTTGAGTAAAAGTTATAATAACTGTCAATAGCTAAGAAATATTATTCATCTTTTCAGTGAACACGGGTGTAATAAATTTCATCTCATGCATGTCGAGAGTGCTCGTCTTCGTTGGTTAATAGTTTTTATTGGCTTAACTATACCATGGAACGCTGGATAATGATATCGATATAATACTAAGTTAAATATTTTTTTTTTGTTAATTTTACAGTTGAGTTAAGTTGCAAAAAAATATTTGTCTTAAAAAATTATACATTCACGAAATTAAACACAAAGTTTTTAATATAGGACTGAAAATAAGAATTCAATAAATTTCATATATATCACCATGTGTGTAGTCAGTATAATCATGGATGATCCATTTAAACCGGTAAGGGCTTATTGAATACAAAACTCCCCGGCTCGAAAAATTTAAACTGATTTTAAGCTAAATGATCTGCATTTGAACTTATTGATCTGTATTTGAACTTTTAAAAACATTTTCATCTGTATTTGATCTACTATGCAAATTATTTTTGATCTGTTTTAAGTCAAAATATTTTAACTCTAAATGTTCGAAGGCCAAAAGTCAACTAAGATAATGACTTATAATTTTTTGGATTAAAAGTATCTCATTAAAAATTATGAGTCGCATTTATTTGAAAAAATAAATTAATTTATAATATATTTATGCGCTCTCTTGTTTTATGAACTGAACGTCGATTATAACCTTACATCTGAAATATTTATATTTATCATAGCTTAACATATCATGGATTATAAAAGTTTTGTAACTCAAATAGCGACAGCAGCGACACAAACGTCTTATGATTTATTTTAAACGAGATTTGTTAACTATATTAAATTAAACAAACTGTTTTCTCAGTGTAGTTTTGCATTAGTTAGTAATAATGATTAATGTTAATATAAATTTAAGTGTAATAAAAGACCTATCAATAATAGGGTCAATGGTAATACATACATTCGACCTGTTAGTTTTAAGTTGATATAATAATTATTAAATTTATTGCTATTAGAATAAATTACATAAGTAAAAACAATGATTAAGGTGTCCTATAAAAAAAAAGTTGATAATATTGATTTGAAACACGATAAAAAAATTCAAATATTCATGATCACTGTTAGTGTCAATAATAGGGGCTCTTACCTTAGTCGGGCAAAATAATTTGAACATGAATTAATCTCATTAAAGAGTTCTTTCCACAACCAATTTTGATAAAAATTTTAAAGATTTTTATCAAATTTTAAAGATTTTCCTTAAAATTAATTATATTACGTGTCTTGTTCTCGATGATAGTACTATGTAGTCATGCTTGTCATGCTTTAATCCACAACGTTTAACGCTTAAATTTAAACAAATTTGGCGCGCTATGCCATATTCCTCGACCTGCGCCCTCTATATTTCATATTGTTTTGTTGTGCTAAAGCATCAACACGTTTTTCGCAATTGCTAAAGAATTTTTCTTTAAAATAAATAATTAATTAATATAAATATCAATTAAAATACTCGACATGGGAAAGCGATCAAGATCTCGATCCCGTTCCCGGGATCTAGGCGTAAAAAAGATGACAAATGGGTTAAGATGCAAGAGCATATGACCCAGATTTTGGGTCAGGGACAGCAGGGAGAATAGGGCTTGGAAGATGGGACAAGGAGGAGAAGGAAAGCAGCTAACGACGCGACGGGCCGAATTTTCGTCCATTTAAATTGTTTAAATTTTGTATATAGTTTTGTTTATTGCGTTCAGTATTATTACTAATCATTATTATTATTATTATTAATAATTTTAAAGAAAGAAAATGTTTATTGTGGTATTTTGTTTAGTTAATAATATTATATTATTGTTACCAAAGGCTTAATTAAATTTAATCAAAGTGGGAGAAATTATTTTATAGCCGAGCAAGTTTAGCAAGCAAAAGAAAATCATTGTAAAAGAATTTTAAAGACTGGGAAATTATTCTAAGTCCCAGACAAGTTTTAGTATGGGAAATCAACGAATGGATATATAATGAAAGAATTTGCAATTAAAATAATAAAGAATTGTGAATTTATCGAAACGAATGGATATATAATGAGAGAAATGACGATTATTATTTTAAAGAATTGGGACTTGGAAATAAAAACTTAGAATTTGGCGAGACGAATGGATAGAGAATGAGCGAAATTGCGATTAAAATAATAAATAATTAAAGGACGATTTTTCGGTATAAACACCACTGTCACCAGGCCGTTAACGGAGATAGCACCATGTGAAGTAAAACTACATATAAGAGCTTGAGACATTGACCTACAAACTTGTAGTCGAAGAGTAATTAAATTAAAGAATAGTTTTTGGACAAAATTAACCGGAATTAACGCATGGTTATACACGACCCGAGAAATGGAAACCATAGTTATGAAATGCGAAACAAACAAATCATTAGAATTAGGTGTAGAAGGAACGGGGGTAATATAGATGGCCCCCGGGTGCGAGGGAATGTCTAAAGAGAAAAGATTCATTACTACGCCGAAGATGCAACCTATTATGAAGATTTCCGGAGGAATTCTGTCCTGGCTAATCATAAATCATGAAATTGAAACATATGCGGAGGAAAATCAAGTAAAATTATCCCAAATTTTGGAAGAGTTATCCGAGGAAGAGGATTATCCACACAGACAAAACGAAGATAGTATTAGTTTTCGATAAATTAAAAGCACAATTAATAAAAAGGTTCCGAACCGGAAAATTCACACAGCATAATATGGAATACAAAACCCGATAGTATATGGTAGCATTATAATTGCGCTTTTAGGCACCATCATAATATGTGAGCTAATCAGAAAAGTAATACAACGAAGAAGTATCAACAACGAAATTAAGAAAGATGAGAAAGAGGGAAACTCACGTAACCAGACAGAAAATCTTCAAAAAGTAGCTGTCGCGAAAATAACCAAAAAGAAATTTTTACCCGAACACAGTAAGTCCGAGGAAATCGGAATGACTGAACAACCAGGAAATATCCATATGGAAAACAAACAAGCAACCACAGTAGTTAAAAGCTTGGAATACTGGGTCATGCGGTTTTAATTCTGATCAAATCAGCCGTGACGCAAATTATCCTATTCAATATCCCGGATACCAGTCCCGATTTTGTTACAGGTACAGGAAGAAGGAAATGTTTTGATTAACGACATCTGTTGATCTAGATCTAGTTTTGGGGTTTTGACATAACCTAAAATTGTATCACGAGTGTTTTGTTTATTTTGTAATCTTTTTCATTTGATTTATTTAATTGGATTTGTTAAATAAATTGTTTATTTTGTCTTTAACATAACCTGTTTGACTTTTCGGATTTATTTCTATTGATTTAGTTATATACCAATTATTTACATTTATTTTTGGTTTTGTTTGTTGGTACTAATCCCCGTTTTGACCCTGGATTTCGGCGAGCTTCAGATTCGAGCAACGGGGGCGTTTGTGTCGCAGTATCGATAGTTCATTGGTTTAATTATTTTTAAACACCTCAAAAATTACCCGTTACAAGCAGATGGATAACCTAACAAAAATTGTGGAATTGTTGGTAAATGTTCAAAAAGAACAGAATTTACCAAAAAATCCGCCTGAGAAGCCAATCACTACAGACGTAGTACAAAGTAAGAAAAATAATACCGATTTATTTAATATTAAAAATATCTACTTTCCATACGAAAGTAGAAAGGTGAATACCCACACGGTGTCACCAGGTCTATACGACTGTAATTAAATGTGATTAAGTTCAATAAGAACGTATTTATCACAATTGCACAATAAGTGCTAAATAATAATTTTTTATTTAAATGATAATAAAAAATTTTTGTCCTTTTTTGTTATTCTTAGAGGCAGAAAGCTCGAAAGAGAATAACCCTAACAAAAATAATGTCAGCGAGACATCAAATACTGGACAGGCAGAAAATAATGAAAAAGCTGAACAGGAAACAGACAAGGATGGTGTCTTAAAGGTTTTAGGATTAGACCCGGATGATTCTAAAATTAAGAATGTGAAATATCATCCAGAACTGAAAAATACTTGGCTTAAGTGGAAGAGCGAGGGCCTTCCGGAAAAGAACAAGAAAGAAATTTTGGAGGCATAGAAGCTTAAAATGAAAGAAATCGCAGAGAAGGTGGCGACTTTATTAGCTTTGACCACGGCACAAAGATTGCAGACTCTGGAGTTAATTAACATTAAGAATATTGAAAAATCAAGCTCAGCAGTAAGAATAAAAATTACGGAGCAAATTAAGACGTCTAGACCGGGAGCAATGCAACCAGAGTTAGTATTACCGTTCTTTGAGAAGAAGCCTGGATTGTGTGTAGCATCGGCAGTATTGGAGTACGTAGAGATAACGAAAAAATTAAGAGGAAAAGACACGGAAGAGTTATTCGTTTCTACAATGAAACCCTTTAAAGCAGTGTCATCCCAAACAATTGGACATTGGGTAAAGTCGTTGCTCGGGAAGGCTGGTGTAGATACCGAAAAGTTTACTGCATACAGTACACGACACGCTGCGGTATCAGCTGCGCACAAGCGCGGAATGGACATTTCAATCATAAGACGCAGCGCTGGTTGGACAGAAAGTTCGCAGACCTTTTTCAAGTTTTATAATAGACCGATTGCGGCTTCGGAGGAACAGTTTGCCAAAGTTGTTTTAAATTTATAGAAGAGAGATAATGATAATCATAAATAATACAGTACCATATCAGTTAAGTTGCATTTAAACTATAAGTTGAATGTAATATGAACAGAGGAATAAACGAGCTTATCAAATAGACGAAAGGGAATTATCACTTAGACTCTAAAAAACTACATAGTACTATCATCGAGAACGAGACACGTAATATAATTGACCGATCAAACGAGCCCGCCGAAGGCGGGCTCGTTTGATCGAGATTATATGAAGTGTCTCGTTCGAAGATGATAGTACTATGTAGACATGCTTTAATCCACAACGTTTAACGTTTAAATTTAAACAAATTTGGCGCGCTCCGCCATATTCCTCGACCTGCGCCCTCTATATTTCATATTGTTTGGTATAGAATTATCACGCTTACCTTGAAGATGATATTGGGTCTCACTTTTTTTTTTTTTTTGGGTTAGAAATAGGGAGGTAGACTATCATCTTCGAACGAGACACTTCATATAATCTCGATCAAACGAGCCCGCCGAAGGCGGGCTCGTTTGATCGATTAACATTAAGAATATTGAAAAATCAAGCTCAGCAGTAAGAATAAAAATTACGGAGCAAATTAAGACGTCTAGACCGGGAGCAATGCAACCAGAGTTAGTATTACCGTTCTTTGAGAAGAAGCCTGGATTGTGTGTAGCATCGGCAGTATTGGAGTACGTAGAGATAACGAAAAAATTAAGAGGAAAAGACACGGAAGAGTTATTCGTTTCTACAATGAAACCCTTTAAAGCAGTGTCATCCCAAACAATTGGACATTGGGTAAAGTCGTTGCTCGGGAAGGCTGGTGTAGATACCGAAAAGTTTACTGCATACAGTACACGACACGCTGCGGTATCAGCTGCGCACAAGCGCGGAATGGACATTTCAATCATAAGACGCAGCGCTGGTTGGACAGAAAGTTCGCAGACCTTTTTCAAGTTTTATAATAGACCGATTGCGGCTTCGGAGGAACAGTTTGCCAAAGTTGTTTTAAATTTATAGAAGAGAGATAATGATAATCATAAATAATACAGTACCATATCAGTTAAGTTGCATTTAAACTATAAGTTGAATGTAATATGAACAGAGGAATAAACGAGCTTATCAAATAGACGAAAGGGAATTATCACTTAGACTCTAAAAAACTACATAGTACTATCATCGAGAACGAGACACGTAATATAATTGACCGATCAAACGAGCCCGCCTTCGGCGGGCTCGTTTGATCGAGATTATATGAAGTGTCTCGTTCGAAGATGATAGTCTACCTCCCTATTTCTAACCCAAAAAAAAAAAAAAGTGAGACCCAATATCATCTTCAAGGTAAGCGTGATAATTCTATACCAAACAATATGAAATATAGAGGGCGCAGGTCGAGGAATATGGCGGAGCGCGCCAAATTTGTTTAAATTTAAACGTTAAACGTTGTGGATTAAAGCATGTCTACATAGTACTATCATCTTCGAACGAGACACTTCATATAATCTCGATCAAACGAGCCCGCCGAAGGCGGGCTCGTTTGATCGGTCAATTATTTTATAATTGTTCAAGTTTTCATCTATGTTATTATGAAGTTTCGACTACATTGTGCTGGGAAAATTTTTTAAAATAAAATTCATAAAAATGTAAGCTTTTCTGTAGAACCTGATGAGCAATTTCTATCCTGGGATTTTTTTTTACATTATACTATCGTTTGTTGATTAGATAAGTTTATATTACATTTAATTGTTGCGTGGCCGGCTGACCGCCAGTAATACAGTTCACAATTGGTTCTAATCATGACTCGGCCACTTGAAATGCAAGAGACCATTATACTTGTATTAAAATAAATACTATCGGTGGAAACATCTAAATGAACTTAAAAATTGAGTTGTAAATAATATTGATTTCTTTCCATTTATTTTTAATTTATTCAAAATTAAAATAATTTTTCAAATTTATTTTTGTAGTGTACAGTAGATAATCATTAGGTAGATTTTGTAAAAATCTATCTATTGCATATATCCTTATGGTTGAATTTTCAGTTAATTGTGCTATTATATGTCTCAATTAGTCGAATAACATTAAAAAATATTATTGGTTTGAAATTTATATATGTATGTATGTATATAGGGGAGAGAGGGGGGGGGGGGAAAGGGGGAACCCC